GACGATGCTGGTTTTTAAGTCTGATTTTGTTAACGTGACCAATAAAATTGCTGTTGTTTTTAATGCAGGCTGCTGCTCTCTGTGTTTATTTAGCAGTTCAACTTCTGCTGGACCTTATTTGCATTTCATCAGGTTCAGAGGTGAGACAAACATCCTGCAGATTAAGCTCCCACGCTGTGGCAGCAGTGCAACCTGGTGTTACTGCACAATCAGAGGGAGGCTTCCTCTGTCTCCGGGTTAAACTTAGAAAACTTTTTCCAACTTCAATTCAACTTATTTAAATCAAACATAACAACAACCTTACACACTGGTGAGTATCAGATATAGACTGTATGTGAAAGATGGATGAAGACACCATGACGCATCCACACGGTTTGTGAAATCCTGTCTTGGATGTTTTGTCAGTTACTATCACATAGTTCTGAAATCAGACCTGATGAGGGCTTGAGCTGTCCCTGAGTAAGAGTAAACCCCGCTTTCTACTCGTTTTTTACTTTAAGACCATGATTTGCTAAATTTGCATGATAGGACAGAAGAAACGATAGGAAAATCTGAAAAGCCCCCTGCTGACCATCAGAAAGAATCTCAGTTTAAGGCAGCTATGCACCAGCTTCACTTTTCTAACCTGGAAGCTGTGGCCAAGGCTGTTTAATAGTCACGGATTAATAAAATCCCCAAATTTTACTGACTAAAACTGAGGTATGAGATGAATGAGCTGAGGTGAAGCCTGGCAGACAGCTATCAGCTAGCTGCCTGTGTGAGCATGTGCAGTGCAAACGTTCAAGTCCTTATAAAATTCAAATGGGTGGCTGACTTGTTAAGAATGTCAAAATAAAATAATTGTGACTCATACAGTTGTCAGGTTGTTAGAAAATAGTTATAGACACTGAAGCACTTTTATGAACCTGATTATTTCTGCTGTAGGGTTCGATGTTTTAATATGGGAGTTTGCTGGGACTGACCTGCTTTTACAGCCAGCCTCCAGTGGCCTCCTCTGCAGTTTCTGTTTCTCTGTCTTGGCTTAACTTTACACCTTTGAAGGTTGCAGCTTTTTAAAGACCCACACATCATCATCATCATCATCATCATAGTATAAACAGCATCACAAATGGTGGAGGCTTCATATCAGCTCTCTGGGAAAAGCTGCAAAAAATATTTTTTGTTAATCGTTACTCATCTCACAAAAGGATATGACATCATGCAGATAAACCCTGGCTATATAAAAAACAAAATAGAAGGCCTTAAGGGAACCAGTATAAACTTGAATTGTGTTATTGCTGTAAAGCTATGCAATCAACATCTACACTGTACGGTAAGTAAGCAATAGGAGCTTAACTGAAACGCCTGCAGATCTAACCACTGCAGTGGATTTTATATTTAAACTCCACCCTTCAAGTGTCCGAGTGTCCCGGCTGAGCTGGTTGTGGCTTATTTTTAGATTTTTAAAAACTGACTTTGCTCTTTAGCATTAAATTCTATGTTCTAGTCTGTCTCCAGGACTCTGTCTCATTGTTATTACTGTCAGTCTTTAAACTGAGTTCTTTTTTCTTAAAGCTGCATGACGTCTTTTTATGTCTCCTCTTGTTTTTGTTTCTTGTCCCTTTTATTTATGCTCTTGAGTCAGATAGATCCCCAGTCAGCATGACTCATAAATGTCACAGATTACTGTTTTCCACAAGACAAAATGAGAACCTTGCCTATCTTTCTACCCACACAGGAGCATTAGTAAAGACCCCCTGACGATCTAAAGGTAAGTATGCCTCACACAGAACCTCTCATTAAATTTAATAGGAGAAACATCAGATGAATCTGACTGAGCTGTGTTTTTATTTTCAGACACTGATTTATGTCCCTGTCACTCCCACTCACTCTTTTTTTACTGTCCTCTTCTGGCTGCCATTTACATCCTAACAAAGCAAAACATAAAGGCTGTTTATGTGGTGTTAAACTAAAACTATAACTTTTAAAATATCCTGAAATAAATGGAAACAGACTGTTCTTTTTATGAATTTTAAAGAGGAGGAAGTCAAAGCATGGAGGAAACTGTGTGCTGACAACATCTCAGAGCAACATACCTCACAGTCCAAACTCTAATGAGCTCAAATGGGTAAACTCAGTTTTATATTTTAAAAGAACACCATGCAGCCATTCCTGTGTTGGCTTTTCCAAGTCAGTTGAGTGCTTAGCTAGCTTGGTTAGCTTGCTGTTTCCACAAACAACATGGATACAATGCACACACAAGAGCTGCTAACTAGTGCTGAATGAGTGCTGCACAAACACACACACAAATACTCATCAGTACTCGAGCACAAACTTCTTCTTGATGTGTGAGAACATTTACCTCAGAAAGCATCAGAGAATTTCTTTAAAAATGCCCCAAATGCACAAACACATCAAACGAAATCCAGTTCAGGGACTCCAAGTGTGAGGACACACAGACCCCTAATTTTAAATCTAAATAAAATATAATACACCTCACATTTGTTTTGAAGAGAGAAACAATCATTTGATTTCAAAATTATTTTTGTAGCTGGCGGCTGTAAACAACAACAACAACAACAAAAAGGGCTGCTGCTGTGATTTTGGATATTTAAACATGGGTATGACTCACTTTTAGTGACAGCCTCACGTGGTCGTTAGAGGAGCTGCAGTTTATTTGAGCAAGTTTTGGTCCACAAAAAATCTGCATGAAGCTAGAAACATATTTGGGCCTCATAATGATTATTATGTTCTCTACTTATGAATAAGAGAAAACCCTAATACTGTATGGAGTCCCCCAAAGATCAGTCCTTGAGCCTCTGTTGTCTTTACATGCTTTCTTTAAAGGAAAATCCTTCAAGAATACAAGGTCACTTATCATAGCTATGCTAACGACACCCAGATTCATTTGGCTGTCTCACAAACGACTTTGATCCTGCCCTGAAAACTGGAAGTCTGGATGCAACACAGTTTGCTTCAATTAAAGAGAGACATGTTTAAAACAAAGATGCACAGTTGCAACTTGAATCTACAGCCTGAATCCATGTGATAAATGTTAGTGTGATCAAAGTTTCACTGACCATACTAAGGCTGTAATCAAGTCATTTTACTCTTTCTGGCATCGTTGTATGATACTCAATTGTATATAGCATTTGTATTCTATTTCATTATATTGTGTACAGTTGTGTACAGTATCTTATTCTTATCTTATTCCAGTGTTTTTTCTTCTAATTTTTCTATATAACTTTGCACTGTCCACTTTCTGCTGTTACAAAACAAAACAAATTTCCCACCTGTGGGACCAATAAAGGTTATCTTATCCAGTGCGATCCCAGCAGGAAGCTTATTCATGCCTTTATTTATTTAAAAAACACGACCATTGGATAGTTAGTTAGTTCAAAATACTGCTACAAGAATTTTAAGGAAAACCAGGAGTGACATCACTGTGATTCTCTGCTCCCTGTGTTTGTTTCCAGAATTGAATAAAAAATATTCCTTACTGCCAGGGTTCTTTAGAATAAAAAAATATCCAAAATATTAATCAGTTCATCCAGGGCTGGCAGGGTACACCATGCACAGGTGACCTGACTATCACATAGAGACACAGGGAGCCACGGGTGATGAGAAATGAGCCTTGTGTGGTTCTAGAGCCACTGGTCTTCATCAGCTTTTCACCTTACATGTTTGCCATGAATCATTTTCTTTACAGGCCTTTTTTCTCTTCAAGAAACCAGCACTGTAAGAAAAAGTTGGTCCACAAACTTCCTCTTTAGCTCTGTATTGTTCATTAGTTTCAGCTCAACAAGCTGTTATTTCCCCTGCAGGCAGGCGACAAACAGCCATCTCCAGTCCTCTGCCCAGGGAGTGCTGAGAGGTAAATATAGCACAGGAAACTGATGCTCTGGTCACAGCAGCGCTCTCTCAGGTGCTTGTTAGAAGATTAAAAAAAAGGCACACAGTGTGAGACAGAAAAGGCCTGAAAACACAGAGTTTATAACAAGCTGTTTAAACTCCACGATCTGATGCTGAAGAGAAACGTCATCTCAGTCTGCAACCATGGTGACAGAGCCTCTGTTAAACTGAATGCTAATGTCAGTATGCTAATACTGATGTTTAACAGCTCCGAGGATTAAGTCAGTGCCACAACTGCAGTTCCTCTGCTGGCCACTTGAGGCTGCTTCCAACAGTGAGTCAGCATCCACTGTCTCCCACGTGAAAGTATCCAACCTTACAACTAAAATAAACTATTTTACAGCCTGACGTTGAAACTGTTTTAGACTCCATGAATGCGGTTTACCTTCTTAAAAACTTTGAGATGTGAACTCGTTATTATTAAAATTATTAAAACTGTGGGCGATCGTGGCTCAAGAGTTGGGAGTTCGCCTTGTAATCGGAAGGTTGCCCAACAGTCTCGGTCGTTGTGTCCTTGGGCAAGACACTTCACCCGTTGCCTACTGGTGGTGGTCAGAGGGCCCGGTGGCACCAGTGTCCGGCAGCCTCGCCTCTGTCAGTGCGCCCCAGGGTGGCTGTGGCTACAATGTAGCTGCCATCACCAGTGTGTGAATGGGTGAATGACTGGATGTGTAAAGCGCTATATAAATACAGGCCATTTACCATTTAAATTTAGGCTATGGCTGCTTTGGTCGAGTCGACAGACATGGATCTCGACCTTAAGATCCCGATTGTGCTGTTGGCCCTCTGAGAACATTTTATTACCAATAATATGATTTGTGTTAGTTGTACTACAGCCTGTCCAAGGTACCTGTGATCCAGTTTTGGTGAGTAATTTTACACTATGAGTCAGATTGTGTTTCTCTGTGAACGCACCTGTACAGTTTTAGCTGGCCAAGCTAGCTCGCACTAATTGGTAAGTTAAAAAAAAAAATATGACGAAAACCCAAATTCCTGATTACTGTCAGGTACCAACACAGTAGCTACTGTAGAGGATGCAACAGTGGGTATGTCCATCTCTGATGTGCAGTTTATAGAAAAAAAAAAGTTCAGTAACAAAAACCAGAGCATCTCGTCAAAGGGTTTTTATTCAGTATATATTACTGAGATCATTAAATAGACTTGTTCAATTGACAACAATCTAAACACAAATAAAGAACCATGTTTCAGTGTTCTTTAATATTTTCACATCAAAAATGAAAAAGAAGAAGCACTCTTTTATTAATAAACTGGTAGATGGAGTTTGATGGGATCTATTATTTAGGAAGCAAAGGGCAGAGAGAGGGGTTTTCACTCGTACATGTTTTTAGATTTAAGCATCTCGGTGGTTCTGTTGATCAAAGGTGAGATTTTTCATTTATGCAGTAATCTCCAGACTCGCAGATCTCGCCCTGCAGCCAAATGTCACCTCATTACTTCACAAAATAATACTGCTCAGCAATGTTCAGATGTCAGTATAAAAGACAAAATATGAGTTTATTATGCGCGACCTTCATCTGTATGGCATTGTTCTTTTAGGGGCTCTTTTACATTGGAGCAACTTTTTCATTTCAAAGTCACGGATATTTGAGACAGCAGTAACTGGGTTTTTGTTATGTCAGTTTGCATCCTAAAGATTTAATTCATATGAAATGAGCAATCAGAAAACAAACCCTCCTTCTCAAAAAGAGAAAAATGAAAATCTTCAGGCCACAAACACGGATGAAACCAAACCCTCAGAGAGGAGAAGGCGGCTGCTATCGGCTGGAGGAAAAGATGCTGAACAGGAAGTAGAAAATCGGGAAACAATCCAGGGTACTACATGAACATGTCATCGTAGCCAGGAGGGGGCATGTGGTCTGGATCCGGCCTAAAAAACAAAAACAAGAGAAACACACAGAGCTGTTGTTACTGTAGCCAGTGGAAGGTGGGTGGTTCGATCCCCGACTCCTGCTGTGCACACGTCTTAAGTCTACTTTTCATACAGCACAAAAGTGCTGTATGAATGTGTGTGTGATTTGGTGAATGAGGAGTAACCAAGTGCTCAGCTGAATAAAAAAGTGCTGGCCCATTCACCATCGTCATATTTTATATACTGTCATTTTTTCATATTTTGTCTTATTTTTATTTTGACTCCTGGTGTTCAGGCTGAGGCCTGCAGGGCAGGGTTAGGTAATGGAGCAAATACACCGCCTGCCAATGATTAGTGGAGTCCACTGCCTGCTGTTGGACTGATTTTTGCTATTTTATTTGGAAAAGTTTTCGGTGTGTCTCCTTTATAATTCAAGATAATGCACAGTCAACCTGGAAAGCACAAAAGTTCTTGTTGCAGTGATTTCAGTTGTTCACAACACAAAGCAGAGGCTCTAACAATTAAACCCTCTTTAGTGCTTTCTGTCCTTTATTTTGGGCTGAAAAGCTTCATAACAGAAGCAGATTGAAAAACTGTGTATGCATTTCTGCACACTCACAGCACTTAAGGCTGCAAACAGAGGCATCCTTCATCTAATTATTTTCCTTATGGTTGTCTCATTTGTGAGTTTCATCTATATCAGTTTGGAGCTAGATAAATGCCAAGCAGGCGATTTTGCTTTGCTTCATTGCATTTGCTGAAAATGCTGCTGGGGACTCCTCTGCCTCTCCAGCAGGAACTTGAGCTGGACGGTCGCGGCTGTTGGACTGACACCGAGCGACTGGAACTTTAAACACACAATCTTACTACAGAACTAAGACGGGTTTTTTTTCCAGGACAACAGGCAACCTTTACTTGTTTATTAAATCTGGTTTATTAGTCTATTTAGCTATAGAGTCACTAAAATCTGTGTCTATAAATGAGGCTGGAAGGTGACTAATATACTTTTTTTTCTGTCATTATCTTCACGTTTATATCAAAAACAACAACTTTAAGGCAACTTTGCATGATTATCTAATAATCATGCAAAGTTTTATTTTACAATGAATCTTGAAAATGGCACCAAATGTTTCTGTAATACATAAGAAATTACACAACTGTTGTATTTAATTTGCTTCAAAGCTGCTTTCAATTTTCTTATTTGTTCTGTGAAGAATGTATCTTTCAGTGGAGTAAATCATACAAATCTAAGATGTTGTAACCATTATAAGCCTTTATTTGGATTGACACAGAGTCAAGAGCTGCCTCCATTATGTAAGGTGGCTCCTCAAAACTCTTTAAATTGCTAAAATGGAGAGGCCATCTGGTATTACTGAGATTAAAATGGGTGTAGCTTTGTTGTGTTTCATTTCTGCTGAATTAAATCTGGTGAAGCTGCAGCTGAGAAGTAAAAAAAAAAAAAATCTTTAATAAGACCACTGACTGATTTAACGCTGCTCTTGGATTTGGATTTTTGATCAAGTCGAAAGATAAGATCTTTTTTTTTGAGAATTTATTTTATGTCAAAATTCAAAGTGTCTTTGACCCTTTGAGAGGTTCAGTGGAGCCTCACAGCTGAGGAGCTGTTACAGCCTGAATTAGTGCAGACAGATGGAGGCGTGTGTGTGTGTGTGTGTGTGTGTGTGTGTGTGTGTGTGTGTCTCACCCTGGTCTGTGACGTCCGACGGGTCCAAACGGATCGAAGCGAGCTCCTGGGGGAACGGCTCCAGGAGGCAGAATGTCTGGTATCCCACTAGACGGGTCAAAGCCAGAGCGAGGATAACCTGACCTCAAGGGGTCGACTATCATCCCACCACCACCACGAGAACTGAGGAGGCGAGGCGGAGTTCAGAGATTCAAGAGAAGGACACGTGTCAGCTGGTTTTGTTGACTTTGTCATAGATAAACAGGCTACAGGTTTTATCTGAAAGTGTTTAAAAATAAATCACTAGTTAAGTAACATTAATGTTATTATAACATAAAAAAAAATCCTAAACAAGTTGTACTTTCATGATTGTAATGGATGACGACGGAGCTAAAAACCACCCACCGCGGAGCGGCGGTTTCAAAAGTATTATCCAGCTTACACCACGCTCGACATCCAAACAAGACTGTTTCAAAAACAGACGTCGTAAAGAGCTCCCCAGTACAGAAATCAAACCAAAGAACAAAACGCTAATACACACTAAACACAACAAATAAAGTCCACCTTGAGTTGGTTTTTAAACACGCCCACTTTATCAGTGTACTTGAAGCACAGGTTAGGGGGGATAACATCTTGCAACACAACCCAAAAACATATACAAATGGATGCCCTCTGCCCTTTTTACATTGTGTACATGTGCTGTGGGTCATACTGGATCACTTGGCTGCCATTAAAAACCTCTCATGGGCCTTATTGGCTCTTCTGCAGGGCTCGGCCAAAAGCTCACCTTGTAAGTGAACCAGAAAAATCTTAAGGTGGGGTTGAGTTTAGCAATTATTAAAAACTGTAAGAAAACTAGTTACATAATAGCTGCGACTCAGTTTGGAGATGTTTGCTTCGTTCGAGTCTGAAAAGGGAAGTTGATGTTAAAGTGTCTTAAGCAAACTTTATTTCTAATGGCCAGAAGGAGACGACTCCTGGTGGTTATAAAGAAGTCTGTAGGAAAACGGCACTCTCTGAGACCTCATTAAACACTTTCCTGGAGATTTCATGGGCTGAGTCGCCTGTTTCAGGTCATACTGAATAAAACGGGGAGATCATTTTGTAAATTATGGCCACTTTTAAAGAAAAATAAGAGGACTGTCCAGTGTTCGCCCATTACCTTCAGATTTGTCTGTTACTCTCATTAACCTTGCTAGTCTCATCTGGTTACACAACACTAAGTGCTGACAGCAAAAAGAATTAGGGCGAGGTTTTAAGAGTGGGTGATGTCACAGTAACTATGTCCATCTTTTATAACATCTATACTGTAAAAAACAATGTGCCATCAGCCGCCTTCTGGACGGGCTAAATTTAGTCTCTAAAAACCATAAAGCACAAACATACCAACATTACAAACGTGACGAAAGCGCAACAAAGCAAGACAAGCATTGAGCAACTATGACCACAGGTGTGTTTTAACCAGGTTTTCATGTTTACATAGAAGCGAAGAGTCCCTGAATCATATATAGTGCGACTTGTAGAGATCTTTTAAAATGTTAATATCTTTTTCTGACTAAAATATGTTTGATTTTGAACCCTGTATGCCAAGCAATAGCTCTCTTTATGAAATTTATACTGGTGCCACTACCTGGACTAATTGTAGAAGAGTAATGCCTGCATACTCCTGGGGTAAAAATATCAATCAGTTATTAAAGGGCAGCTTTCAACAAAAACTTAGGTTTGATTAATTTGCTTTACTTCCACATTACAGTGAGGTATTTTGACAAGCTGATACTTAAAGCTACATATGGGGAAACAAGGAGATCAGATTAACCTTCAGTGATTTAAAAAGTGTCCTGGTGGAAGGTACTTCAATACACAGCTTGTGTTAGCACAATAGAAAAGCTCGAGCTGATAAAAAATTAATGTTAAAACTAAACTTAGATTCTGAGTCTGCAGCTGCTTTTGTTTGTCATCTTTTCTGCGACTCTCTGACATCTGAGCTTAAAGCTTCGCTTTCAGCTGGACACGCGCCAGTAATCCAGAGCTGTCCGCTGCTGTGAGGGCCGACTGTTCATCCTCAAATCCCAGATTAGGGAAAACCCAGGAGAATGCTTAAATGCATGTCTGAGATTGAATTCCATAAACAGATTTAAAGGATTTAAACATGACAGGAAGAGACAGACTCACCCAAAGGGATCCAGATCTGCTCCCCCAGCTGCAAACGGAGGAACCATGGGGTCGGGCCTGAAACAAACAAACAAACACACACACACACACACACACACACACACACACACACACACACACACACACACACACACACACACACACACACACACACACACACACACACACACACACACACACACACACATCAAAACCAGTTAAATACAGGATCAGTCTAACATCATTTTACAATGGAAAACAAACTACAACAGCTAGCAACGTGTCAAATACGTGAAACACAACCGACGATCTTCTTCACCAACATCTAATAAAAATAAATACTTTATTTATGCTCAAAATTCACCACTGCAAGAGCGAAAACAATAAAAACACCTTACAATAAAAGTAAAATTATAAAAATGTAAAAATCTTATATCATACAATGAGCAGCTTAAACGTAAAACGAATGTGTTATGAGGTGGTAAAGACTTTCTGTATGTGTCCATGTTTCTGAGGAGATAAAAGAGTGAGAAAAATGAGTTCGGCTGCATGTCCGCTAAGTGGTGCAGAGGATGGTCTGGGTCCATTAATTATCCATAGCCATTTACCACACACAGCCACGGTCATTTGGAGGACCTTCGTCAGTTGAGGAAGACATCCCAAGTGCGGTGATTCAAACTGAATTCAATGATATGACGAACTCTCTCAGGCATGTTAATGCATTCAGCATGCGCTTTAATATTCACGCCACTGAAACGCTCCTTCGCAGCAGCGTGTTCAAGAGGAGACTACTTTTCAATCACAATCCTTCCACATTTCTGGTTGCTGCCATGACAACGTCTGCAGGGAGCACATCAAACTCCACTAACAGTGTTCCCTCTGAGTCTTAATCAGCTCACCGAGCTCGTCCATATCACTGACTAAGCGCCTCACATTCCCCATGATAATCAGTGGGACAGTTCCAGCACTGAAACCCCGGCATTTCCTCCTTTGGTCCTCTGGGATAATAGTAGGACTTACTTCAGGCAGTCAAATTGTCAGGACAACCAGAAGGTGAAGATTCTCAGAGCGAAACGTAAAGAAAAATCTCTGGTGAAAAACACACTTGATGGATGCTCAATCATCCAGGGAAGAAAATCCCCAAAAGCTGATTCTGTTCATCTGGACGCAACGTTTTCAGTGGGAGAAACTTTTCGTCACTCATCCAGGTGACTTCTTCAGTCTCAGCTGACTGCAGGTTTCCCCAATCTTATAAAGTGTACATTTGCATAATGACTTAAACTAGCATAACTGAAGGAACAATGGGCTGGGAGGTCAGTTCCTTGATCATTAATATGTAAATTCTCAAGGAGGGGGCCTAAGGGTACATCTCTCACCATCATACAGTGCGGTGATCGCAGCCATTCCCCAACTCTCTGTGAATGGTACTCATGGACATTGATCAGTGGCCATTGATCACGGGCTTTGATCAGTGGTTGTTGATCAATGGTCATGTGAATTTGCATATCAATGATCAATTAACTGATCTGCCAGCCCATTGTTGGAAACAAAAGGTTTCTGCCACTGAAAACGTTACATCCAGATGAACAGAATCAACTTTTGTGGATTTCCAAAAAGAGCTGTGCCAGACGACCATATTAGGGAAATCCTCTCTTAGTGACATCATTTAGAGCCAAGAGTAGAAAAAATAGATCAGTTGTCATTTAGAGTGGTCTGAAAGCTGTACGTAATTGTACATACATGGACCTCATATAATTTGAACATTCCCTTTCCAGGCTTGTTTGAGACGACTGAATCTGGTTCTTTTTAGACATTAAAAATGCTCAACTTTGGGACGATAGTTGATGTAGAAAATTTAGTTTTATTGCATTTTGAATGCAGAATATTGATGTCCATTTGACAATCGCTAGCTGGTTCATTATTTTACATACATAGTTACCTTATTGATTATTAAAGTATTCTGATTGTGGTATATTTAAAAGAATGCAAAAATTAAAAAAAAAATTACTTTTTAAAAGGCTTCCCAAATGTGAAAACTTTTGGGAAGTCAGCTTTTGGGAGACTGAAGGACTGAGGAGACACAGTAAAGGAGTTGTTAGCACTGTCACCTCACAACAGAAAGGTTCCTGGTTCAAATCCCAGCTGGACTTTTCTGATTGTAGTCTAAAGGACTTTAAGTGGTCAGCAAAAAGCAACACGTTTTAAGAATCTGCGAGTTTAACTTTTGAAAACTAATTCTGATTCTCTAACATTTCCTAGATGTTTGGGGGGTAACAGTTTCCATCTTAACAAAAACATGTTATCTATTTATTTTATAATTCTCATTTATTTATTGATCCTACAATCATTATTTCACTTTAACTGGATCCTGCAGCTTAGAATCATCAATGACTAATGTCATTTATAAAAGACAGTTGCTCTAAGAGTAACTTTAAAAATGGAAACACACAGGCATGCTTGATTCAGCTTCTAGTAAGACTGGTGGAGAGTCCCACATCTGATTCATCCAACCTTCAGGTCTTCAGGTTCTGCCCCCTCCCTTGTCTTGTCTTTGCTTTTGCCATCACTCTGCTTGTTTCTCTGAATTGTTACTCCCGAATCGTCTCTTAAGGATTCAGGAGTGCTTTCTTACTTTCTCTCCATTATCTTGGTCTGTTCTCCTCTTAACTTTTACTTTCTCCCATCTGTCACCGTTTCTCATCCTCATCTCCCTCCCCCTCTGTCTGCACCTCTCTCGGGACAAGGAGGTGACAGCAGGAGGTCGATAAAGTGCTGACATCATCTCGCATCTCATCTGAGCGGGTCATGGCTAAGAGGATGGGGGAGGAAGAGGAGGAGGGAGATGAGATGAGGAGTGAAAGTCAGAGTGATTCTGTCTCGCAGCTCTCGCTCACACATGTGCTCATGTTTCCATCACTTCAGATGACGTTACACTGACTTCATTTCCAGGATAACCACATTTAACATCACCAAACAAAATGCGCATTTTTATCAGAAAATGCTGCCATAAGTTAAATTTAAAGTCACTTTTAGTGGATGTTAAAGATTTTCACGTTTACTATAAATAAACAATGAACGAATTAAAAAAAACAAAAAAACAACAACCCTGCTCTCTTCAGCTTTTGTTCTATCAAACATCACCCATTAAAACACCAGTATGTGCCAATGCACTGGTGTTTCTTAAAGTTAACTAGTTAAGCTTAGCCAGGTAGTGAACCACGTCTGCAGAGATGACTGTTTGGTTTATTCTTACTTTATTCTGACTAATGATTTCCTGCTAACATGGATAAATTGCACTCCATCTTATTTCACAAAATAAAATGTAAAAAAAGGACAGCTAATTTATCCAAGCTAACTTATTTGCTACATCTACCTGCCATTTTTCTATGACTACACTATAACATCTACTGTGACACACTAAGCAGATTTTTGCAGATGAGCTAAATTTAGCTCATCTGTTAGCACCATCCAACCACCCTGTGTTGGCTTTGCTTTGTGTCACTATGAATGACTAAAATAAATACTGTTCTAGACAGAAAGAAAGCTGTTGCCAAAACATTCTTTTCCACCAAAGAAAAATATGTTTAAACATTTTTAAATGGAGCTTAATTCATATCGTAAGTAGTTTTTCGTTTTTCAAATGTGTAGAATCATCAGGAAAATGCCAAGACATCTGTTACAAAAGGTAGCCCAGACTCCCTGCCTTAACTATATGCTGAGCAATCGTGTTTACTTACAGTCAGCCGCCCAAAGGTCCATTTTCAGTAAGGAAAAAAAACTCCTTAGTTAATATCAAAGACAAAAAAGTTAGGCGTGGTCACAGCCCTGACCTCAGCAAATGCTTTCTGATGCCTTTATCGGCTCAATCAGGTCAAACTGATTAAAACATGAATGTATTTGGTAAATTGTGGAAATTCTAATTTTCAGAAATGATGATTATCCAGGGTACGTTCACTAGGTAATGACAAGCTGTTAACCTGTGAGACGACAATATCCTCAGCTTGTAAGTCAGATGCACTCCGGTCTTATCACGTCTGTTTCAAAAGAGACTTAACACACCAGAGAGTGGCTCCATCCATCTTTGGTACTGTCTATAGCTACGACCATGGATCATGTTATTTAATGTAATTTGGCAAGCTACATAAAATAGTGCAGCGTAATAGTGCAGGACAGGTGCAGTATATCATCCCTGTTTTGGCTAATGGCCGCTTGCTTGCGGACTGTGAACAAATATGAGAAGGAGAGTGATGACTAGTGTTTCACTAAGAGCCTTCAGACCTCTTTTCTTTACAACACTGTGTCTGTACTTACTGCTCTCTGACTCGCCTCACCCTAACCTTACTCAAACCTTCTGCTTAGCCCACAGGGTTTTTATCTTTTTTTAAAATTGATTTTATCGTTAACTCTGTTTCCCTGGGTCTTTTCCTGTGTGTTATGAATAAATCTTCCTTTTTTGGTACCGGTAGTGGTTTCATTTTGTTGTATTTATCCGCAACACCTTAAAGGCCGATCCGTGAAAATACTGTCGGACATAAACCGGTCCGCGGCGCAAAAAAGGTTGGGGACCGCTGATATAGAGGATGTTACAAAGACACACACACTTATTACACTCACATTCATTCTCTGGACACTTACCAGAACGTTAAACTAAGTCTTTCCTTGTAATAATTAATTTATGGGAACTTGCTTTGTGTCCCCAGAAGGGAATGTATAAACAGATTTAGGTCCCTGAACATGAGTAAAACACACACACACACACACACACACACACACACACACACACACACACACACACACACACACACACACACACACACACACACACACACACACACACACACACACACAGCCTGAGCTCTGTCCTCATTTGCCAACAGATGCTCCGTCTAGACGTATTACAAGCCACAATCTCAGCACATCCAGGGGGGTGTGTGTGTGTGTATCAAATGCCAAAATGTCAGTCATAAATATTAATAACACGAGGCTCTGATGCCATGAAAATGTTAAGGATTACAACTTGTTGGTTGTTCATTGATTTTCCGTCATGTAGTTCTTTCCAAGTCTGCAAAGTGCAAACAAATCTAAAATCGTTCAAGGTTAAACTGGACTTTTAGACTGTTCGAATTTATTAAGTGAGTGAGTAATGCACATTAATGCACACAAAACCGGAAAACCTGAATAGGCCAGACTGCCAATGAATAGACTAAACTATATTCAGCCTGAGTAAAACTAGAAATACCACAAATATAAGGTTAAAACTTCATGAATGTACATTAGATTAATTACTTGATCCTATGCTGGTGGGAGAACCTCATTAATGAGCAAAAGTAGGTGGATATAGAAAAATTAGTAAGCAAGGCATTCGTTATTATCTCTATTTGACTCATAGTTTCAGGCAGTATCCTCTTTTTTCCACAAATGCAAAAGAGAGAGAAACCAGGAACATTACAAATATGTGCCAACCATAACTGTGTGTCACACATGACAGTAAAATGTACATATTTAACGATCAGTTCATGAGTTTTGTTGTAAAGTTTTGCATGCACAGTTTGTATCATCACCAACCAGTGAGGGTGTGTCCCCTGGCGAGGATTCCTGCTGGGAATACGGAGGGGGTCACTGTCCTCTCCTCTTCTTCTCTGCGCCTCCTCTTCCTCATCCCGCTGACTCTTCCTCTCTGCTCTCTGTCCGGTCGGTCTGTCCAGGGGGGGCAGCAGCTGAGTCTTCACCTTCTCTGACAAACTGTCTGCATCTTTGAACACACTGCAGAGAAGAGAGATGACTTCATTTATTTTTCAGCTCTATATGTTTATTTTCTGACTATACCAGAGTTGCTAAGCATGACTCACAATTCAAAATAATCTTTAGTTATCAAACAAACTGCCCTTCAAGGCCACCCTCCCTATCAGACAACCTTTTTATAATAGGCTTTTTCCAACAAATAAAAGATTTCAACAACAAGTGGGTATCAATCTGAGATGACCTTAAAAGGCAGGCTGAGTACGAGGCATACTTTATTACTATTTATACATTTCTTCCTAAAGTTGGAAAGTTTGTCCCTTACAGGATCCAAAAGTCTAACACAACAATTATAATAATCAGAACAACATAAGACAACAGAATAAAAGCTTAATAAAGTAGAGCAGCTCAAAAAAATAACCTGTCAAATGTATGAAGCTGGTCAGTGTTCACGTGGTCGTTGATGTTCACCGTTAAGTCCGACACCTGCTGTGTGCTGGAGTTCTACACACACACACACACACACACACACACACACACACACACACACACACACACACACACGCACACACACACACACGCGCACACACACACACACGATCCATTAAAAAGATAGATTAACATGGAGAATAATATCTCAACAAACTAGCAAATAATAAACTGAACCTAAATCATATTTTCTTATTTTACGCAACTGTGTATCAGATCTTTGCATAGATCTACATTTCTCCAGTCTTACAGTGCAGTAATACGACCCGTATATGAATGACAAAAACTAAAACTCACAGAACTAAACACTAAACTAATCGAAACATTTTAATCGATACAAACTCGAATGACCGAAAAAAACACAAATTTAAAAGTAAAGTGTTTGCGACCTCACCCCTGGCTGCAGTGATGTCTGCTCTGAACATCAAGATTCAAACTTAGAAAATCTGACTTGATCCCTTTTAAGGCTTTTTATGGATCCTTACATCAGGACTGAAATGCAGGATAAACTGGTCGGTCTATATCAGTGCTCCAATGAAAAATAATCCAGAGGAAAAAATCTTCTTCTTAACCTCCTAAGACCTGAACTCTTTCATGGCATTTTAAATTTCTCTTTGCTATTTGGGCTGATTGGAACCTGATGAATTTAAAAACTAAGACTTACCAGATTTCTTTTTTTTTTTACATAATTTTTGTTTCTGAGAAAAACGAGATCCACATATGAGGACATTCGTTTTAAACTTTGATAGAACAGTGGCAGTATAACGTCCTCGTAATTATGCAAAGTTTCAGGTTTCTGCTGTCATTAATAGAGGGAAAAAACCCACACACTACCATAATTTTTAAAGCACTATTTTAAATTGCCATTGTCTAGAAAACTAATTAAGATTCAAATCAAATGTTTATGTGCTTACCATCAGATTGAAGATCAAGGTGGAATCAACAGTGATTGCCTTGAGGAGCATTTGGGTGTCACTGTTGTTGGCTTTGTATCGCAGACTGTACAGCTCTTTGTTGTTACTCCAGTCAGCAGGCAGCAGCTCGGACTTCTTATCACTGCTGCGGGCCTGGAGCAGGAAGGTCACAGAGGCCGTGAAGACAGATAAAAACAAAGGGGGTCAATTCAATCAGAAACCTGCTTTTTCTTTTCACAATATTTGTTATCAGAATTTGGCCAGTTCACTGCAAATAACAAAACAATACATAAGAACTACAGCAAGAAATATGTGTTATTATTAGATATAACATATACTAATCTCATCACTAAGGTTGTAAGATTGTTGTAAAAAATTGTAAACATATTGCAGATTCTTGTGTTGCTGCAGTAAAACAGACTAAAACTAGCTAACATAAACAAGACTAACCCTATAATTAAAATGTGACAAAACAACATTGGTCAATAACGTAAAAATTCCACATAATAAAATAAAAAACGAACGTGGAAAAAATAAATATAATAATGATAATGATACACATAAAAATCCGGTAGAGTGAATTCATTTTTAGGTGCATAAAAATTTCTCATTATTTATATCTAAAGAAAAAAAAAACTTTTCAACATGTCATCATGTTCAAAATAAAGAGAAATGTCTCATTTGGAACTGGGTCACTTTACTAAATGGTAGGTGTCATTCCAGAGTGTTTTCATGTAAAACAATCACACGGAGATGCCAAACGTTTCCCTTTTCACGTTAAATCTCATTATAAATGCTTCATTTTAAAAATAATACTGATTACCTGTTGATTTCTGTAAAATGAACAATGGGAGAGGGTGGAGGATAGCAAGGCTGCACACTAACACGAATCTGTGTCATAAACTCCCGTGGTGTTTCAGGATGACTGCCCCCAGTGGGTTAGCCAGCTAAAGATGACATGACAGTTTTGGTAAACTGTCCCTCTTAAAACAGATGCCGTCAAACTGAATATCAGCCATGACAGTTGGATTAAAGAAACCTAAAACGCATTTCTCACACTTTTAAATTCTTCGCGTTAACGTCAGCTTGACACGGGAGGTGATGCTTGTTTATGAAGCTATAGCTAATGTACATTGAGAATTACATACAGAACTCCCTTGGAAAAACCGACATTTTAAGAATTATTGGAATTACGGTCTGAAAAACATCGAAAACCACATACACAGAATCTTTTTGCTAATATTTAATTTGCATTCCACAATTTGGCGTAAGAATGATGTAAAAAGAAAATATTATCTTTGCCATAATGTGGGATAATTTAACACAAGATTTAGCTAAACTAAGCGAACTCACCTCGTCTCCTGAGCCGATGCACCTGTATCCGTTCTTTATCAACTCCCAGTGAACAAAACACACAACGGCGTCCTGCGGGCAGGTGATGTTACCTGCGACACAGGTGTACAACACCTCCAAGCCAGCCATGTTTTCCTTCAATCTGCCAACATCGGTACAGTTTCAGGCAAAAGAAATGAAAACGAAAGTCTGTGTAGCAGCTTCACTGAGTCAAGCTGCAGTTCGGTGCCAAGCAACAGGAACCATTTCCGCTTCCCGGCTTTTCAGTTTAAAAGCACCAGAGAGCTGACCGAACGGTACATATCTGCAAATATCCAGTGATATTATGTGACGTAATGACCTTTTTTCATTAAGCTTTATTTCTATTTCATTTAGTATTTTTAGCTTCAATTAAGTTTCATTTTGATTCACTCTCAGATTAGGTTTTCTTATTTCAGTTCAGTTTTTCTTAGTTTCTTGGTTACTTTTACTATAATGTGAGTGTATTTGTAAGGGGGAAATTTAGACGAAGTATTAAAATACAAACTCAACTCTTCATGTCATGTAGGCATGAAGTGTTGCGTTTTTCATCCTTACAAAACATGTGCACCAATGCACCAAACTAAAATATTTTTCTCATACCTGGGTTTTATTTTGTTTGGGTTAAATATAATAATGTTGAAATCGGCCCTACTTCAATTCATTGCATCTTAAAAGAGCTCATATCTCTGTATAACTGTTAATTTAAAACAGGGGCCTCAAACTCGCAGGCCGGGGGCCACTTGCAGCCCACGTCACCCCTACTTAGGGCGTGTATATTGACATGAAGAAATATAGTACAATTTGACCCTTGAAGTTATTTATTTATTTATTTATTTATTTATTGTTAGGGTGCAATAAGTGCAATGTTAAAATAAGTTCCTTAAAAAGCAAAAAATGATTTTATATGAAAGCAATATGAGCAGAGAGTACAAACATGTTGAGGGATTGGCTGTGTTAGTTCAGTGAGAGTTATTTGTAAAGAAAACAGTTTTCACTAGCAGTCAAAAATCACTTATTTCTGCATTTTTATGTTGTTAAATAAATATAACAGAAATGCTGCCACGTGTCTGGCCAGAAAGAGAGTACCAATTTGTTTATTTGGCAGTTCAGTTCAGTTCAGTTCATTTTTATTTCAAACATTTCAATGAAAGGCTTCAGTTAGTTAATAGTGAGGGAAGAAATGCGTTTACCTTTGCAATTTTATCTTGTTATACAATATTTGAAATTCAAAAACAAACTAAACACTACATTTTCTAAGATATTTGTGTGTTTTCTTGTTTGTTTGTTTTTGTACTCCTAGAACACTAAAGTGCTCTCCAATAAGATGACAATGCCAGCAGTGGCCTACAGCTTTAAGACCCCTGATCTAAAGAATAAAGATATGTACGCATCAAAAACACAAGCGATAATTTAAAAAAATCTAAAATGTCAGTTGATTAATTTTCAGACGGTATTTTATGCTTGTTATTGTATTATTTGTGTGAACCTATTTTAATGATCCCAACTTGATCAGGAAAAAAGTAAATTTATATTTTTAAACCGAGTCAATTTTGTTTTGATAAAACAAACGCAGGGTTAGCGGAAGCGCAGTGGTTCACTGTGTACGGCTTTTTGTTTTGATCCCATTCAAATAGCCTCCGGATGAAAACAACTATAGGACAATAAATGTTCCGCTTTGTGTGCTTACTCTGTTTGTGAGAGTGTGTTTCAAATGTAAAATGAATCATCAGTTGACATCAAGCAAGCGTGTAAAAAGATATCACATGCACCAAAAATTATCTATCTATCTATCTGGACTTTTGGTTCCCTCCCACCTTCCTTCACGTTTGGAGACTTGATTTCCCGTCGTGCACCTCGCAGGGCGGACAGCGCTTCCTTGTCAAGATGGCGGCTCCCTTGACTCTGCTGTTGATTGTGGCCGTTACGATCCGTGCCGCTTTGTTCCGGTCCAGTTTGGCGGAGCTGATTGCAGAGAGGGTGGAGGTGGTGTCGCCGATAACCGCCTGGAAGAGAGGTAAGCGCGGGTTCAGCGGTTTAGAGCCGCTGCGTTCCGTTCACGTCCGGGTCCCCTCACCTCTCTCTCATCCGCGCTGTTATCCGGTAACTCGGTCAAACCGGTTCAGCTGCAAAAATCAGCAGCTGAGACTCAAATTCAGAAAGTTCGGTGATGTTTTACTGACATTAAGCTAACAACGGACACGTTTTACTTTCTGTAGGGGAAGTGTTTCTTTGCTATTTCCAATGAATGGAGCTCAGTGGTTGTTTCTCTGTCAAACATCCATCGACCACCAATAATAATGACGACCAGAGTCTCTGCCAGCGGCTGAACAAAGATCTGCACAGTCTCTAGTATTTGTGGACCCCCTGTAAATGACCCCCCTCCTATGAGCCACATTCGTTTCCACGGGGTTATTTGCGCATAGTAAAGTAGACGTTACACCTGTAAAACATCTGGCTGACGTGTATAGTGTGTGTATAATGTTACATCAGCAAGTGTTTAAAAATTAATTTCCACAGCTACAGCCAATTTAAAATCACTACTTAGCCTAACAGGCACATGTCCCCTGCCTTCAGGACCTGCTTGCTGTGAGGTGATGGTGCTAACAATTGCACCACCGTGCAGACACCCTAATTTGGACAAAAGTATACAAACAGACTGAAATATGTACACCCCCATGAATATTTGTTTAATTGCCCCTTAGCAACTGACTACCTCTTCTGTAATCATTGATTTATGAGGGCTCAAAAGTGATGGAGAAAATGCACATACCCCTGCCCCATGTGCTTCGATGGCCAGTAAATATCTGAGAATAATTAATGTACAAAAAAATCTACTGGTTCACAGTGGGAGGCACTCACTGATTTGACTTTATTATTTGACAAATTTGTATCAGCTTTCCATTAGTTACCACAGACAAAGATTTTGTTTTAGATGAATTTGTGAAATATTAGTGGACTGTGTTTAAGTTTCCATTTAGCATATTATGACACGGTACCTGACAGGAGCCTGAGGTGCAGGTTTGCAGTCAATCTGAGGTTTTTCTGTAAAACACAAAACATGACCAACGTGCTGTGAGACTCGCACAGAAACACTTTGTGCATTTTTCATTACTCAGTTGTAACTGGAAGCTCTGGAACTGTTACTGTCAAGAGGAGGCATTCAAAGACAACAGCCCAGTGCTAATAAAAAATATTAAAAGTTGGAGATTTTAACAGAATTTATGATTTTGGCTTCTAACGATAGTGGAATAGAGAAAAATTAGTTTACAATGTCACTTCACTCTCGAAATTTCAGACCAAATTCACCAAGTTGAAGTTCCATAAATGCAAAAATAAACATTTTCCACAGTGACCAAAATAATTGTGGTTGTGATTTTTATTGTAATATAGCAGTCTTAATAAAACTGTTTCTCTGTTTGCTGTTTCTTTGCAGTTGTTGAAGGTTTGGCTCTGCTTGATTTGGGGGTTTCACCATATTCTGGAGATGTTTTCCACGAGGTGAATCTCTCTCTAACACAAACACCTTTTACAAAGTCTGAGTGAACACTGAATGTATATTTGTACATTAACCTGAAAATAATCGGAAAATATGAAGGAGATGGTCTGGAAAACAAAGATGAAACATTCTAGATTCTCCTTATTTCTTGGTGAACCATCACAGTGGAGGGGATTAGAGACACAGGCAACATTTCTAGAAACTTCTTTCAACAAAAGGTCAGATTTCCACTGAAGCAGCATTCAGATAACACCCAGGTGAAAACTTTGCTTACTAAGCAGCTGTGTAATAGCAAGAACTTCATCATCAGAACAAAGTGAGAGTGTCAGAGTCAGATCTTCTGAGTGAGGAGGGGCCTCCTTAGAGTCGGGCCATGGCTGGACCAAAGGTTTCTAAGAGATTAAATAGATACTCTAAAACATCCAGAGCAGGGTAGGGTGAGCACATCAAACTTTGTTCACAGATAATCAACAAACACAAAATGTATTATATCAAGATCACAAGAATCAATCAGCTGCCTGTTTGTAGACTCAAAGGATGAGTAGCATCTGTAAACCACCTCTCGAATGTCACATTCACACCAACAAAGTGCTGGTGCTCAGTCTAAAACCAGTTCCATGCATTTCCAGGTGCCGTGTTGGTGGAAAACGGACAATAAATGTCTTATTTAATTATATAGACGTGCTGGGATGTTTCATTTGTTCCTGGTTCTTGATTTTTCCATGACATGCTTGCACCTCATAGGTGGTGTATTTCTACAACTGAGATCTGAGTCAGCAGAAAATTATTTAATGTGTCTGAAATCCACAAATGAGGCATGTTGATGTTTAGATGTTCATGTTGAATTCTCCTTCTGCTCTGATCCTTTCAGACTCCTCTCATCATCTACATGTTTCACTTTTTGGTGGACTATGCAGAGATCACATTTATGGTGAGTCTGAATACAAAACATCATTTTGAAGCATTTTTTTCTTTGGGGGCAGTCTCATTACTGGAGAGGGATGGCTGAGGTGGAGCGGACTTGTGCAGAGGATGGATAGGGAATATGGGTCTTGGCCAAGAGCTGCCAGGTGGGAGGAAAAGAGGAAGGACACAGAGAAGATTCAGAGATGTAGTGAGGGAGGATGTTAGTGATCGAGTGACATGGAGGCAGATGATTGTGACAACCCCTAAAGAAGAAGGAGATTAAACTCTGAAGTGTGATCAAATTGATTGTAAAGCCACACACAAACCTCAAACCTTTTTGAGGCTGATGTTGATGAGAGCTGGTTCTCTGAGCACAACCCAGAACCTGAACGGCAGGTTTCAGTGTCAATCCACAGTTTTAAAGTCCAAAGGCATCAGCAGAGACACCAGGAGCGTGCTCGATGTTCGATGCCCACAGCATTATACATGAATTCATAAACCAGGATTCATCGTTAATGCAAAGGTTTAATGTGATTCCCAGTAACATCTGAGAGACCAGATTCAGCCCTGAAGTAGAGTGTCTCCACTCTCACCAAGAAAACAAGAGCTTCATGGCCACACTAATACGATCTTCACTTATCATGAGCCGTGTTCACCACATTAACCTCCTCGCTACTTTCCATAAAATAGAGATTTTGGGGTGGAGGGCACAGTGGAGGACACCCAGCTCTTATCACAGAGGACCAGGCACAAGGGTCAGAACAGATTTCCCTCAGAGCTTCTTGAAAATAGCAGACATCAGAGTGAGATGACCTTGAAGTGG